TGTGTGTGTGTGTGTGTGTGTGTGTGTGTGTGTGTGTGTGTGTGTGTGTGAAGGAGTTAAACACTCATGCCTGCAAAAAAGGTTGGGGTCACCTGAAAACTAAATTAATTCTGAGAAGCAGGTGTGAGTGTCTCATCACTTACCTCTTACCTTTCCCCACTTTCCTCCCCATCTCACAACCCCAGACCCTTTGTGACAGGTACAATAATTTGTAAAGATCCATAGCTCAGTAGCCATACTCTTCCACTTGGAGCCTCTTGAAAGCACTAAATCATCATCCCAAAACTAAAGGAATGATTCCAGGTCCTAGATGTGTGGACCCTTAATTATCAAGCCCTTTAATTGCAAACCCTGCTTGTTCTGCACAAAACCTTCTGAGCTTATTTACATCTCGCCTTGCCGCCCTCTGAACTAGGCCCCGAGCACCTCATCATCAAGTGGGCTCTGCCAGGAATCTCAGTTGGAACACCTTCTCATCCTTGGGCTACTGTTGTCATTTGCACTCACTCCAGAGCCGTTCACTCTGTGGCCACCTGGTACATATTTGTTGATGATTTGAGAAGGCAAGCATATGCATCTCCTAAGAGGTCTGTATGTCTGCACAGAGCAAGGGAGGACATCCATAGAGAAGGTAATTCAACCTGAGTGCCCCAGAGTCACTGCTTGGCAGAATGTCTGTGGTCTGGCTATCCTTCCTGAAGTGGAAGGCTTGGAGAGGCAGGGAAAATGTGGGGACCATGTGTGTTCTATAAACCAAAGACGGATCCCCATCCACATGGACATATGTTTCTTCTGTTGGCTAGTTTAATTTTCTTCTCATGTTCTCATCAATAACAGTGGAGGTGGGTTGCCCATTCGGAGGAAACTGAGACCTTAGGTGGCGTGGGGCTAGGGGGCGGTTCTGTTGCAGGCTGGTGGTGATTGACCTTACGAAATCCAGAAATCTAAAAAAAAAAAGTCTCATGGCCTTAGTACCCCAGCATCTTTCGAGTATGTAGTCCCCTTTTCCCTCACAAGTTTTAGACAAATCTAGCGCTTTATTGAACTTGGAATATTGTTCTCTTGGAGAATGTGACGATTTTAAATAGCCAAAGAATTTCCATGTATAAGAGCTAGTTGATTCCAGGATAGCCCACTCTGTTGAAGAAAATACCAAACTACTGCCTATTCTCATAAGTAGTAGAACAGCTGAAGAAGGACTGCTAACAAATGAACTTTCCAGTCTGAGTTTGTGTTGGCCTCTATGGTACTTACTGTTCAGCAGAATGTGTTTGCAAAGGGGCAGGACGCCCTCTGCTGGAATAATCGCCGTTATTCTTTCAGCCAATTAATTTCACTAGTCACCATTTCCTCAACTTGTTACTTGCCTTTTATCATCCAGTTTCCTCAGTCGTTGAAAATTTGCTTTATCGAAAGAGGAAGGAATGTCACAACCCCTGAAAAGCTGAAAGAGAATCCCCCTGAACATCTTGTCACTGTCAGCAGCCCTTGTGCAAAATGTTGACGCGGATTGTTGGCTCTGTTTGCAAAGATACTTCTGCCTGGAATGTTGGTGCAGACCTATAAGGGCCTGATTGTTTTGTAACTTATCTCAACTTGATTCTTGTCCAATTGCAAAGGAACATCATTAAACAGACTTCTTTGATATGAATGTAAATGGTGTGAAATACTGATGTGTTTTGTAAGTGTACATAATAATATATTGACTTCCTGCTTTCACATTAGTAATCTGAAATGGTTGTACCATTTTATAATTAGAAAGAGACGGAGGGGCAAGGGAGGGGTGGGAGGGCTGTTATTTTTATAGTGGGATTGTCCCTTATATTTAGAAAACTTGAAGTAATTTTGTACTTGTGAAAAGTTACATTCCACTCATTTCCTGAAACATAATGGGTCTTGTTCTTCAAAATGTTCATGAGCTGGGAGGATGATAATTCTAGTTTCCAGGGGAGCCTCCCGAGCAGTATATATGTGACACCCAATTTTGTAGACTGCAGACCATGACCAGCAATTGCCAGTTCAATAATGTGAAGAAAAAAAAACTCAACTTATTTTAACCCCTCTGTATATAGCACATTATTATTTCCATTGAAAAAGACATCTGCTACAAAGAATGAATTTACCATTATGAAATAGGCAGGGCATCCATGGATTTATTTTTGCTTCCTAACCATGAAGTGTGTGCTTGGATTGTAAAACAAACGATGTCGCAGGTAGACTTTTACTTAGCTTTCCCATGAGGCCTTTCTGGCCCATCTGCAGATCACACAGGTGGTCCCATCACGGCATTCCCCATCTTCTCCATAGTTCAGATCATGAGACTGAGCTTCCTTGATGTATTTGCCACATGACTCAAAATCAAAAAAGTCGTTCCTGATGCCATTTGCATAGGTAACTTCTAATTTGGACTTTGGTTAGCTCTTAATTGCTGAAAACTTTAGTAATGGATTATGTAACTCTTTTACGCAAACATCATCTGTGCAAAGTCACAGGTATATTTAAATGATTAGTGAAGGCAGTGTAGTTCTTTTTTTTTTTCTGTATAAATCTCTTTCTCTTTTTTTTCCCCACCTCAGGCTCCTACCTTATTCCTTCCAAAGCACTTTATATTTTGAAATACAAGGAAGTTTAAAAATAAAACTGTCTTTATAGGGATTTGTCTTCTATTAGGAGACACAGACTTTTCTTTTGCTTTATTCTATTCTTGTGTGCTTGGAGAGCTTAAGCAGTTTGTGTTATACTGGGCGAGGATGAAATATTAAGGATGCTAGCTGGGAACATTCAATCGTACAACATGGCTATTTTTATTATATAGAAGACTATCATGTAAATAAAGTGCAATCGTGTTGTTATGTACTGGTAAAAAAAAATGCAAGTATAAAGATTTGAAAAAGGATTGTGAATTCCAGGAAATTTCACTGCAAAATTTTGTTTGGTTTTGTTTTTTAATAAAATGGAACCGGATGCTTGTGTTTGTGTCATCCATATTCCCTAACTGTGTGGCCTCGTCTTGAGTTCCAGCGGGGGCCTGATAGATTTTTAAACATCGATATCTGTCTTGAAATCCCGATTATGTTAGAAGAATGAGAGATTTTACTGCCTTCTTTGTTTCTCTCAGGTACGTCAAGTCGGAGCTCTGTTCCTCTAAGTGAAATGATGAAAAGATTTGGGGCCATTCTGTCCCAAATCTTCAGAAAAGCCGAATACTAACACAAAGTTCAATATAAAGACGAAGAATGGCTGATAAACTAGCTCGAAGTGCTGTCCGTTGGGAAAGAACTCAGCACTAGTGTCTGAGCCATTGCAGGCAAGGTGGTCCTACGCACGGTTACCCCATGGGGCCCACCAGGTAGGCTGGGGTGGCCAGCTCCCTTTTTAATATTAACTTGTACATCGCTAGAGGGTTTTAAACAGCAGTTCTTCTGAATTAGCAAGGAAAGGAAATGCTAAGGAAATAATAAGGATGGGCGTGGCCAGCTCGTTAGTGCTTCCCAATACGGCCGTTTTTATCTGCCTGGATGCCTGCCGTCAGCAACGAGGCTGACATCTAGGACTGTGACGCCGGGTACAGCACAGAGTCCCGAGGACGACGCAGCTGAGAGAAGGCTTCGTACAGTACGTAGCGGCTATTAAAAACTTTTGACCAGATTTTATTAAGTCACCAATTTGACTTTACTCAGCATTACTCAGCTTTCCTGAAGCTGATTAATCACAGAAACCTCTTTTTCAGCGGTCATATTTTTCAGCACTGCCCTGATGAGACATGAGTATGGAACACGCCGGTGTTTGAACTGGAAGGGGGCTGCCACGCCTTCTATCCCACCTCCCCACCTCTCAGACCCCCACAGGCCGCCTCACCTCTCTCTTGTCCTTGTGCCAGCTCTCTCAGGGAAAGCTCAGCCGTGCACTGTCAGGTGGCACTGTCAGCCCGTTTCACCCGCAGTGGCGATGTCCCCAGAGTCACATCACCGAGCCCTGATCAGAGTCACACACGTGCCAGGGGGCCCCGAGTGGCTACCTGGCTGACTATGACACTTTTCCAGGGAAAGTAGAGGCCCTGCCCTCCTGGACACTCCGCTCTGTGGGCTTCTGTTTTGAGAAGCCATGCAGCGACTTCGTCCTCTTGAGAATGAAAAGTGTAAAACTCCCCAGAGCTTTGTAACAAGCCAGGTAGCTGGGCCAGCTTTGCCCCCCGATTCCGTCTGCTAACATCTGTGTTTGGTTTATTAGGAGCGAAAGCACTATTCAGAAAGCACCAAAATGTGTTTGCTGTTTTCTTAGTCTCGTAATTCCTTCTACACCAATGTTAGAGTCCAACTTATCTCCTTGCCTTGGTGGAGAAATGCAGTGCACCGGACTGGGTAACAGGGCTAGGGAGGGGAGAACGCGAATTACTTCTGTTCTATGGTAATTACTCTACATAGAAGAGTGAGAGTACCAAGTGATGAGAAATTCAGGTGACTGAGAGAGGGTTCTTATTTATGAGACAGTTTAGAGCAATTGTTTCACTATCCTTCATGATCCACGCACAGAAACTCAGTTTGCCTCATATTTCATCACACTCATTGGTGTGGAGTCTCCCTGAAGTCTCACTGTGATTCTTTGTCCTTGGTTGTGAAAAGAATAAGGGACAGTGACCTTTCCACGGTGTCATCAAAGACCAGGGGAGCCCTCTGCTCACCGTGATTAGATCTCCGCTCGCTGATTTGCAGTCCCAGTGCCCCGAGCCCAGTAGGATGCCACCCACAGTCTCCAACCAGTGGAGCCTGTATCTGCTGGCACACGGGAGGTAAAAACTAAACTTCCCGGCCCCCTCCGACCTTTCTGCTGTGGAACACATTCCACCCTCTCCCTGTGGGAACACCCAGAAGATATGATCATAGCCGTGACCCCCCCCCCCAAGTGCCTCCCCCTAACATTCCCGCTGTCTTTGTTCTTCAGGCTCATTTACTACATGG